AAAGAAAAATTTTTGAAAGCAGCAAGGGAAAAACGACAAATAACATACAAGGGAACTCCCATAAGGTTAACAGCTGATTTCTCAGCAGAAACTCTACAAGCCAGAAGGGAATGGCATGATATACTTAAAGTGATGAAAGGGAAGAACCTACAACCAAGAAAAAACACTGTGGAGAATGGATATGTATTTCAGAAGGGAAATATAACATTGATAAAGAACAAAATAAAAGATAGAGTTGTAAATGTCATAAATTTATTTGACACACAAATTTCATGTACTTCCAATTCCCGTCCCTTCTTTCTCCCACTATCTTCTCTCCTGATAAGTCTTTGTTCTTCATTTCTGGAAAAGTTCATCTGATGAAGTTTGTAAGTTTCCATCTTCAAGCATTTCCGTGTTCAGATTCTAAACAGTAGAAGAAAAGTTAGAAATATTAGGGAAATTTTGTGATCTAATAAAGGAATAAGTTTTCATATTTTAATTATAAGTATTTGAACTTAATAAGTTTAATTATTTTTAATGATAAGGCTGTTCTCAGTTTTTTCATGTTTTAAAGTGGAAAGTGGAAGGTCTCACAGCAAGTGTTGTATTGTTAAAGATGAACACTGTCAATCAGCCTAAAGGAAGGTCTTGTAGATCACATCTCTTGTGCTGTGTTATATGGATAATTTATAGTGAACAGTCTCCTGACTTTAACTAGTATAAGTTTAGAAACATCCCAGAAAGGCCGTGGGTGATAAATATATCACCACTGAGTATAGAAACATAAACTAAATATTAGATGATTTCCCTTTTATATGTGGCAAATTCCTGGATTCATCTTCAAACAAGTCAACCCAGACACCAGTAATTATATTTTACTTGCATTTTTTTCTACTGTGAAATTCTATAATACATTGTAGATAGTTCAATTCATAAATGATTTACCAAGGAGTTTTATAATATGGTAAGGATATGCTCAAGAAGCAGCTTTACACAGACAACACATATTTTATTTATTTTCTTTTTGTTGGCATTAGATTTTACTGTTTATACTTTACCAGCACTGCAGGGAACACTGTACTCTTCAATGGTGAATTCCTCTGAAATGCAAAAATGATGAGACAGAGTGAAGACATTCAGTAATAGGCACATGAATGGTTAATTGTAAATAAAGTGTGTAAGCTACGAAAGAAAGTATAAAGCACAGTTACAGAGCCAATAAAAGGACTGACTTCTGTACTAAGCCTTTTGGGATTGGTTAGTGAGGAGCAAGAGAAAATTGGGCTTGGACATAAAGTTGAGGGGCAGATTTCACAAATGGATAACTGTCTTTCTATAGGACACTGTATAGCCCTTTTTCACAACTATGTTTTTCTTATTGGAGTTGTACGTTCCTCTCTGAACCTTTTCTTTTCTAAGAAAGAGTAAAGTTTGAACACTACCAGCATGCTAAGATACTGGTAAGTTTCTACTTCAAAGTCATGAGCAAATGGAAGAATTTCCTGACATATTATACAAAGTTTCCCAAAATTCGTGAAACTATCTGAGGCCCAAATCAAAAATAGAACAAATTTTGGGTCTCATATCACACATTTTTAGTTATTGCCACCCTTCTTTTCTTTCTGGAATAATTCAGTCCAGAAAAAACGTCATAGGGGAATTTAGAAAAAATTGATCCCCTTATTGCTTTATGATCAATTTATAAGAATGATTCTAATACTTGTTTGGGGGCATAAGACAGATTAATATACAGGAATATGCTTATCCTGTGATCATAAACTCAACTCTTTCTTCCAGTGAAAGATTGTGGAGTTTTCTTTCAGCTACGGTGACCCTGTCCTAGTTAGTCATCTTTTTCCTTTCAAGGCTCAGCATGTCTGAATCCCACTCACCTGTCTCATAATAATCATAGGCCTTTACGGTAGCTGGTTTTAAATTCTTTATTGGGATGTTTTGTTCCACTGAGAAGGAGAAACTCAAGCTTTGATGGGTTAGCTGGAGAGACAGGAAAAATGAATTGGAATCAAAGATTAACTCAGTTACTCTTTTCTTAAGATAGTATCAAACCCTGTACTTATGCTGTCCTCTGCACCAAAACCTGTGGAAAGAACGAGAGGTTTTAAGATTTGCATAATACACTCAATGACAGATAAAAGAAGGGCAAAAAGACGATTCTATGGACAGTCAAATGTAGTAAATTGAGCTTTGTTGACCTGGCCCAGCTTTGTTTCCCTCTGTAGCTATTTTCTTTCCCCACAATTCATAAATGCTATTCCAGGGAGTTTTATAATATGGTAAGTTGTGTAGGTGAAATACACTCTTTGGAACCTGGGTTGGTTTGTTAGAATCTGTAGTGGTTCTTCCAGATCTAGCAGAATCACAGAGAATCTTACCTCTTCAAAGTAAATCAGGACGTGGTTGGTGCTCACTTCAGTCCTTTGAATCTGAGGCCTTTCTTGGAGCTGTTGACCAAGAGGAAAGGCCAAAGATATGGGATGAGGAACTTTCAGGCTGAGGCAGTTTTCAGGTATTTATGTTCTAAATGGCTTCTCAGAGACATCCAAACACTAATTTTGATTTCTTCAAGAATAATAGTAATAATAAAAATAATAAAGTAATATTTATTAAACCCTCCTTATCTATCTATCTATCTATCATCTATTTAGAGAGGGAATTATCTTCCAACTATATAAAATAAGGAGAATATATGTATATGCTTACATATGATATAGTCTCCCTTTTTCTTTTTGTACATAGTTGGAAGATAATTCAATGCACTACACATTCCTAGAAGTCTCAGGGCCTGCTGGAACATTATTAACCATGTTTATATCTTATAGTTGAGACCACATAGCTAGGATGCCCACTTTTAAAATGATGGAAACACACACTAGAGAAACAAGTTTGAGGGAATAAACCTCTTGGAGAACTGAATCAACAAAATAAAATTGACAGCATTTGCCATGACTTTGCTATCTGTAAGAAACTTAGGGTTTACCTTTTTCACTGATGCTTTCACAGGTATGAAGCCTGATACCATCTTCACATCAACAATGACCATGTTGGAGCTGGGTCGTTCCCCAGTATAACTATGAAGTCAAGGCATAGGGACAAGGCAGTCAAACAAAATTCTTTGGAATTCATTCAAGACGGAAGTCTCTCCTCTTTTATTTCTACCGTTCCTCATCCCTGGCTACCACTCAGCTTTGCCATCTACTCTATTTTCTTCTGCTATAGTTGTTTGGAAAACTCATTATGAATGCATACTCTGCAGGTATGGTAACATCATATTCTCAATGTTAAGGCTTTTCAGTAAGAGTGAAGAAAATTTTCTTTTAAATAACTATTGCAAGAATTTCTTGTTTATTATGTATGACCTTGGACAGTGAAGATCCCCTGCACAAGAAACTCTATTTCACTATATTCTACAAAATGTCTCATAGTGGTTTAGGATTTACCTAATGTTGATGAGAATCTGGACTTTGCTGTGAGCATTGACTCCATCACAATTCTTGGGGAGAGTATCAACTTTCAGAGTAAAGGGAGATTTTCCTTCTTTCTTGGGCAGGATATTATATCTCAGGGATGTCTAAAACAAATTGAAAAAAAAATCCTTTATTTTTACACTCAAATAGTCTATCTCTTCTACGTGATTTATACCTCCCCTTAGGACATGTTTCTTTTTCTATTTTGAAGTTCAAATGGAATTCTTGAGACTTGTTCTCCCATTTGTGGCATTGCCTGAACCCTGGCAGTCTCACCTGGAGGTACACACATCCCGACCCTGACACTGCCATGCTGTACTCCCCTGGAACCTCTGGCAAAGCGACCTCCTGCAGCAATAGGCGATTGCCTTCATCTACTTGGAATTCTTCAGAGAAGGTCTCTGAAGACTTGATGGTGACTGTAGCTGCTTTCTCCCTTTTAGTGAAAGTTGCTGCTCCATACTTGGAGAGCGCTTGGAGAGCTACCACTGTATCCTGAAAAAAGATGGGTTCAGAAAGCACAGGAGAGGAAGGTAACAAAATCATACCAGATGTAAACCATATCAACACTGTTCTCAGAGTTATTTAGTCATAAACACAGTTCATTAACTGGATTTCAAGTCAATTCAGACCTGGTTATTAATCATGAACTATTCTAGGAACTTTGGGGGAAATGAAGTTTCCTTGTTCAAGTAGTTTACAGTGTACATATGGGAATGAGACTCAAATATTTGACGTAGAGGATATTTCAATAATTATAAATTTATATAACAACATTTGTTGGAAAAATTCAGAGAATGGAGAAGAAATTGGAGCTAGCATAATAAGAAAATGCTATGAAGAAGGTGAGAAATAAGATTATCTCTGAATAATGAGAAAGGTTTATAAAGACAGAAGAGAGGCATCAGGCAGTACCAGGGAGGGAAATGTTGTTGTAGTAAAGACATGGAAAAGAGTGAGCCAATTCCAGAAAAAGAGGAGGGATCAGCCTTTTGGCCATGCCACGCAGCGTGAGGAATCTTAGTTCCTTGACCAGGGATCGAAGCTGCACCCCCTGCAGTGGAAGCATGGAGTCTTAACCACTGGACCACCAGGGAAGTCCCCAAGGGAAGTAATCTTATGAAAACATTGCTTTAGGAAGGTTGATCGACTTTATGGATGAGGATCCACTAAGGAGAGAAAATATGAGAGATTGTGCAGAGGACAGAGAAATAATCCATATATAAAATAATGAGGCTGGAACCTTTCTGGTGACGGAGGAATAGACAGAGTATAAATTAGAAACATTATTCAATTATTCAACTCCTAGAATGTGGTTGTGTCTACATGGGTATTAGTATATTTATTTTTCTTCCTAGAGTCTCTTCACAGACCTGAGTGGAGGAGAAGCCCCCACTGGGGTTTTGTTGCTTGGTGATCCATTTCACAATCCGTGTAGCCACAGACAGGTCTTCTGAAGATGGGGCAGGCTGGGCAGTAAGATAGGCAAGGAGAGTGTAAGCTGTCATCTCCACTTCAACAGAAGGAGCCCGGGGTTGATAATAGAGTGCATTAACTTCTTGAGGTTTCCCAGGACGTTGCCAGTGGATTGAGTCCTCTTTGAGATAAAAAAGGATACAATCTTAAGCTTAGAGAACATTTTCAAAACCTAATTCATTAATGATCATTATAATTAGAGCTCACCTAGTGAATGGACATACATGAAGTGAAAGTATTAAATAATCACCAATCAAGCTAATCTTTGCCATGAAAGTAAATTGAGGTTCTAGCAAATCACATTGTGTCTTTGTGTCTGTTACATACTTGTGTGATATTAGAAGCTGGGCTGTTTAAAGTCTATAATGTGTGAATTGATAAAATGACCCATGTCACCCAGAGAACTTAAGTGTTAGGTCAATAATAAATCATCATCTTCTTATAATAATATAATGGATAGAATATAATATAAGCATGATATGTGTGAATTTAATAGGTCCTCTCCCTTTGATCACTGGTGATTTTTGGAAGTCACTTTTGCAGTAGCAGCTCTTACCTTCTTTTACAGCCTCTTTGTCTAGTGATTCAAGCAGCTCACTTCGTTTGGCCTGGTTTCCTGCTAGAGCAAAGGCATAGGCCAATAATGCCTTGGTATAGACAAGACTTCCTTGGGCCTCTGAAGTAGACTCCCAGGCCCTTTCCAGGCAGAATAGGGCACTGCGGACAACTGGGTGCTATAAAGAAGATGGACCTTAAGATAGAACCAGGCTAATGAACTGTCTCCAGGGTAACCCTAGATTCAATGCCCCGAAGTGCCGGTGCAACATCACAGTCTGACCAGAGGGTAATTTTCTTTGCAGCTTCCCAAAGGCTCTGTCATCCTTCATGCTCTAGTGAAATATACTAATATTAAATAACATGAAAATCACAACTCATTTTCCTCAGAGATTCATAGTTCCATGAGTTTTATTCCTTACATTTGTGAGGGAGGTCCAGGGAGTGTGGCAGTACATACAGTGGCAGGCAGTGGCATCTCCAGCAGAGCAATGGTGATGTAGGCAGAGAGCGTCACCTCATCGTCTACCCCGCCCTGTAAGGATCAGAGGCAGAGACACTAACACTCCAGTATTCATCAGCCAGAATCAGCTAACTCTAATTTTCCCCTTGGCCATCTTCACTAGAAAGCATCTTTCCTTGGGCAGTATTATTGATTTTCCCCTTCCTCCTTCACCCTAAAATTCTTAAATCTGTCCCAAATCACTTTCCCTCACTTTTATTAATGTATTGGAGCTTTTGGGGCATGCTATTTTCTTTCAATACAAACAACTAATTTATTGCTAGGTTTCAGAAGCTTTAGAGTCTACTTTCCTTCTCAGAGCTATGTCACCAGGACTTGAGGAATCAATAGGAGCATCGTAGCTCCTACATGTCACTGTCTTCAGGGCCCAGAACAAATTTAAAGGCATCACCTTAATAGCATTGTTTAACAATGATCCAGAACGCTGGAAACAACCATTTTCCTTTTGCTTCTGTGAGAGCCAGGTAAGGGAGTTCATGATGTGCGAGTCCTCCACAAAGATGTATGACTGGGCTTGAGCGAAGGACTTGAATACAAATGCAGTGAGCCTGTCCAGCAAGGAAGAGATGGAGACCTGAGGACCATCTCACTTTTAAAGCTCACTGTGTGCAGTTGCCTCCAGGTAGCTTCACAGTTCCGTGGAGAAAATTGGTGGCAAAATGATCCTTGAATACTGAATATACTCTTATTTGTCCAGCAAACTTCTGAATCTGTTTTAAAATGTCTCAACTTGATGGGTTTCTCCAGAGTCGATACTTTTCACTTTTTTTTCTCATAAAATGTTTGTGAAATGTGTAAAATGTTGTGCCTTCCCACCACCAAAATTGCCATTTTCTGAATGATTTTACTACATCACAGTCTCTTTCTGTCCTTCCCCTCCTCTCCTCCCTTAATGTAGAAGCGTTTTCCTCTATTATTTCACATTATGACATTTTCTGCCTTCTATTTCCATTTTGGGGGATCCTTACTTTACTGCTATTTACTATACTGTCAGAACAGTGAGCTTTCATAGATGAAATGGTGAGATCCTCCACTAGTGATGACACACATAGGAGTTTTTAAAGGATAACAAAATGGGCAGAAGACCTAAATAGACATTTCCCCAAAGAAGATAAACTGATGGACAACAAACACATGAAAGAATGCTCAACATCACTAATCATTAGAGAAATGCAAATCAAAACTACAATGAGTTATCACCTCACACTGGTCAGAATGGCCATCATCAAAAAATCTACAAACAATAAATGCTGGAGACGGTGTAGAGAAAAGGGAACCCTCTTGCACTGTTGGGAGGAATGTAAATTGATACAGCCACTGTGGAGAACAGTATGGAGGGTCCTTAAAAAGCTACAAATACAACTACCATACAACACAGCTATCCCACTCCTGGGCATGTACCCTGAGGAAACCATAGTTCAAAGAGAGTCATGTACCACGTTGTTCACTGCAGCACTATTTACAATAGCCAGGACATGGAAGCAACCTAAGTGTCCATCTACAGATGAATGGATAAAGAAGATGTGGCACATATATACAATGGAATATTACTCAGCCATAAAAAGAAACGAAACTGAGTTATTTGTAGTGAGGTGGATGGTCCTAGAGTCTGTCATACAGAGTGAAGTCAGAAAGAGAAAAACAAATACCATATGCTAACACATATATATGGAATCTAAAAAAAAAAAACAAAGGCTCTGACGAACCTAGGGGCAGGACAGGAATAAAGACGCAGACGTAGAGAATGGACCTGGGGACACAGGGAGTGGGAAGGGTAAGCTGGGATGAAGTGAGAGAGTGGCATGGACATATATACACTACCAAATGTAAAATAGATAGCTAGTGGGAAGCAGCCTCATAGCACAGGGAGATCAGCTCCGTGCTTTGTGACCACCTAGAGGGGTAGGATAGGGAAGGTGGGAGGGAGACTCAAGAGGGAGGAGATATGGGGATATATGTATACGTATAGTTGATTCACTTTGTTATAAAGCAGAAACTAACACACCATTGTAAAGCAATTATACTCCAATTAAGAAAAGAAAAAAGGATAACAAATTTCTGTGCATGAACTCCAGGTATCAGAGAATAGCTATTTCCAGAATTTTGAAATACTGTGGATCTACAGAGAACATATGGAAATAATTATCTTACCAAGTGTTTCCCTGACTTCTACTATGACGATCCCCAAAGGTGCTGTAAGAACCATCGCTGTGCTTATAATTCAACTGTCTTTGGTAACCTGAAGAGGAAGTTTGCATAGATTTATGAAATAGCAGAGACATTGGAGAATGAATCAGGGTTTTCCTCAAAACTGGTTGAGGTGTCACAGGGAAACTACTGTGTTACCACGAAGTCTCCAAGACTTGATGATACCATGGAATTTCCTGGTTGTATAGTGGGACAACTTGTTGGATATCACAGCAACAATAATTATTAAATCTTAATCAAAGGGATGTTGACTTGAGTTCACTGGAGGAGATATTTAGGGAATCAGTTGATGTTTTTCCTTTTGGGGTAAAATCTCTCACCACTGATGAGGTGGCTGATGGCTGTGGACTTGATCTTCTCTGTCAGCAGTCCTGTCTCATTCAGATAGTTCAGAACATAGATGTTAGGGGCAAAAAGGACCATATTCTGCTCTCCACAGCCATAGGGCATCTGGAGAAGATTCTGAAGATTTTGCATTGCAGAGCCTAGTATATCACCTGGGGAATGAAAGATATTAAAAAAAAAAAATCAGAGGAACTCAGAGCTGATTTACGTTGGGATAAGAAGATAGATTACTAACTAAGTGAGAAGTCAAATCATATATAAAGGGGAGGAAAAGTAAGCATAAGAGGTGAAGGAAAACAAGAAATAGAAAGGAAAGAGAAATGTGGGAACAATAAAGTAGATAGTTCAAGGATGGAAAAAATAGGAAAAAATCTGAATGGTAGGATACATCTTTCTGATGAGCCACAAATCTGGTAAAAAACAATTATTTTTAAATCTCTTAGGAAGCATCACTACCTAGCCAGTCTCTTGAAGATGAGGGCACAAAGAGATGGCCCTTTTTACTTTTTAGAGTGTATCAAGGTATAAGATGTAGCACAACATCTATTCAACAGTGCAGTCCTTAGCTTGGTGCTCTTTCTCTCAATCCAACGCCTAGACTCAGACAGTTCATTAGTAAGGGATGGTGAGGCCCCATGCACTAGAATTATGGGGATGGACAACTGCTTCTTTCGGGCTGGGAGACTCACCCAAAACTGAATGTGTTGCCCTGGCAGAGCCTTCAACCACATTTGAAGGAAGTTTTAGTGACAACTTTTCAGGTTCTCCGGTTTCTAATGAAACAAGACAAATATATATAAGGGAGGGAAAAATGAGAGAAATGTTCTAGATTTATTTGAATTTTTTTCATCTATATGATCAAGATCCAACATCTCATTTCTCTTGGTCATTATATAATCTCTTTGATGCAATCTAAGTTTCTCCTAAAGCCACAATTCATCTCACAGTGAAGTTCATATTAATCATATATATTTGTGTTAAATTTCTATAGATTTCCTTATAAGTGTATACCTTATGTTATATTTATTTCTTTCTCTTCATTGTTTATGTTAAGTTCTACTATAGCTGTGGTTGTAAAAAAATCATATTCACTCCATAAATATGTATTAAGTGCATGCTATGTACCAGATTCCGTTTTAAGTGCAATGATATAGCAATTTGCAAAAGAAATTTCCCGACATCCTAGAGTTTTCATTTTGATGGGAGTAATAAAATAACAAATAAATATTTAGTGTGATAGATACCGGTAAGTTCTATAGAGAAAAATGAAGCAGATTAAGTGCTTATATGGGTGAGCTAGTGAGGCAAGGCAAATCAGGAAGTACAGGGTGTGGGGAGAAGGTTCCCAATGATAAAGCTCATTGATTAAAAAAATCATAGGTGACTGACACTAAGTAAGTCAGGGAGTAAAATTTATAGATATCTAGGGGAAGAGACTTGCAGGAAGAAGGAACAAAATGTTAAAAGACTCCAGAGATTAGAGCATGCTGGGTGTGTTCTAAAATCAGATTAGAGGAGCAGGGTGAGTAGGGGAGAGGGTAACAGGATATGAAGTCATGAGGATAGAAAGGCTTTGTAGGTGATGCTGGAGACATAGTCTTTAACTTTGAGGGATATGGGAGACTCGTGGAAAACTTTGAACAAAGGAGGGACATGATCTGAAATATGCTTTAAATGATCCCTCTTGTTGTATAGGAACAGGGGGAGATGACCAGGAGTCCAGTTAGGAGGGGACTGAGTTGGTCCAAGAGAGGAAGGTCTAGAGTAAGAGTGGACATGATGAAAAGTGGACAGATTTCAGATATATTTAAAGGTTCAACCAGCTAGATTTGGGAATGGATTGGGTGTGGAGTAGAAGAGAAAGGACATAATAATGGATGACTCCAAAATTTTTTTATCTCCAGCAAGTAGAAGAATGGAATTTCCATCATCTGAGATGGAGAAAATTGTAGGAGGAGCAGGCTTATGCGGACTAAGCAGAGGTTCAGTTTTGAACATGCTGGTTTTGAGATGCCTCTTAGGCCTCCAGGCTTAGAAATGCAGGTGATAAGGGAGCAGCTGAATACATGAGTCTGGGTTTAGGAAAGAGGTGTGGACCAAAGATGTATATTTTGTGGTCTCTGGTACAAAGTTGTTATTGAAGTTCTGTGACTAGATGAGATTATCGGGGGATACTTATGTAGAGAAGAGAAGAGCTCTGTAGACTAAGCGCTGTTCTCTAGATGATTTTAGATAGTGCAGAGTTGAATATTTTAATACTAATTTTTTAATGACTGTGTGAATATTTAAATGGTAGTTTTAAGTGTAATAGAAAAAGATTGGTTTTCTATATATGTTAATGACCTAAAGTTCTTCTTAAAATAACTTGTTTAAATAAAAACATGAGTACACTTCAACTATTAACAGAATAACCAATAGTACTAGTGCCACAAAGATATTTCAATAGTTTGAAAATTGTGTTGGAAGAAGTTTGGGAAGCACAGGCGGATTTGGAAAGAATCCTGTCCTATGGTCATCAGCTTTTGTCTTCATTATTAGCCAAGAGCTTTTAGGTGAGTCTCTTAACTTCTCTATGTCTTTATCAGGAAAAGATTGTTCTCCATCAAATGTCCTTTGATTTGCACATGGGATAGTATACTTGTTTCCTTTTTTTCCCCCAGAGGAAACATGCCCCAAAGGGCATTTCACAACTATATACTTTGGCAAGTGGCTTAACAAAAGAATTTTATCTATTTTTTGACACTTACCGGAAGCACAAAGAAGTGTGTTGAAAGTTTCCTCCTTTTCTATTCCTTCAGGCTTTGTATTGAAAGAAAAAAATCAAAAAGTGATAGTGAATGTAGATAGTGATAGAGAAAAAGCAATCACTTTTAGGAGAAAAACTGTTAGTGAAAACTTGAGCTGTGGACATATTCATATTCTTGGGAATGAAATGTCACTGTCGCATACCTATTAGATAATGTGATTTACATAATAAGGCCTCTGAGACTCAGAGAAAGTAGACCCGCATACCTCAACAAATAAGGGCTTGACTACAGTGTCCTTCTGTCCAGGTGCTGGGACGTGGGGCACCTCAGTGTCACACAGTTCCTGAGACTGCAGGGCTTCTGCAGTAGCTGTGAAATTCACCTTTCCTGGGGAATAAGATTCTTAAGGAGTTAAACAGTGATTCTATATTGAATGGTTTCTTCTTTTTAAGCCTCTCCAATATTTATAACGGTTTTCTTTCAATCGATCATTGTCAAAGGAGGAGAAAAAAACATGCATCTGAGTGAGAATGGAAAGCAAATCATTACAACATAAGAAGTAGGATTTGTGAACAACTTTACCACTCACCCAGTGACTTTGGGGTAACAGCCCAGGACACAGTTTTCTGCTTATTTCCACAGACACAGTGAGATTCTTCATTCTTTTCTACTGGGATGGCCAAGAAGGCAGGAGAGACCTCCAGCTGCACGCTGACCTGTCCCCCATTCCCACCCACAAATTTGAGAAAGAACACAGGGAAAAGGTCAGTAACAGGGGGAAGAAGCTTAAAGGGACAATGCATACTAATTGAGAGGCTTTGAGAAACTGTTCAAACAAGGTAAATCCTGTCAAATATTTTGTAGTTTAGATGTTTGCCATTAGGACTTCGAAAAACTGACAGGAATCAGGATAAATACTCAGGATTTAGGCTTGTGCCAACACAAGGAAGAGATATTTTCTTTAGTTAGAGTGAAAAAATAATCAGGGGGAAGTAATATCTGAATTTAGGAATACACAAATAATGCAGAGTCCTGAATAAATATAACCTTACCACCTCAGACCTGTTGGGGAGCTTTGTTCTTAGTACTTATTCCATTCTAAAATTAGGCTACATCATGTTCAATTATGACTTACTAGGAGATTACCTGGGAAATCTAGGTAATGAACGGTGATTTTGTTCCTTCCTTCTACTTTTGCTTACGTCGAGAAGTGCCCTTACCCGAATGCAATGGGACACATAGCTGAATGCAGTGGCTTTGAGTGTGAAGGCTTCTCCTCGAACCACAGAGTAGGGAAGAGTGAGTTCCAGGAAGAAGGGCTGGAAGGCTGTAAGAGAGATGGTGGGGGAGAGGCCAAGCCCTGCCGTTCCAGACAAGCAGAGTGCGCCAGCCTTCCACTCCGTGATGGTGTCAGGGACCTTCACTGCCAACTCACTTCTACCCGATATGCTAGGGAGGGGAAAAAGAGGAGGAGAGTCAATGAGTCCCCTCTTTAGCAAGCACCACAGCTGATCCTAGAGCATGAAAACTTAGTGTGCTAAATGTTAAACTTGATATAAGGTTTGGTGTTCATAATGAGGTCTCTGAAAGTTTTTTTTTTTTTCTTTTTAGGGTCGAGGGTAGCTTCCTACTTTCTGTTATTTTAAGTATCTCAGGACCAAATTAGAAAAAGAAGATTGCATTGTTTAGCTGTGAGATAAATGAACTGTGAATCTAAATAACTACCAGAAAAGAGCGGAGCAGAACGGAAAGGATCAGGAACCAATGATCACACCAGAATTATAGAGGAGAATTCAAATCCTTTTATGAACTCAATTCTGGGCAACACACAACTTACTCGAGTGCCACCAAGTCCCAGATCCAGGTCTCAGGGAAATACTTCCGGACTGTCTCTTTCACTTCCACAGCTGGAGGGTTTTCTCTCCCTACCACTGGATAAGCTATCCCTGCATTTCCACGTGCTAGAGCAGAGCCTTCTGGGCCCATTGGACCCACTTGACCTGTCGAGAGAAAACACGCAGGGCCCAACATAAGCCTCAATTTTATCAATTTCTTACAGCTGCCTTATTTATCAAGTAGAATAAGATCATATGCTCAGGGAATGTTTATTATTAGAACAATTTAACCTACCGGCTTCTTACTTTGTTCACTCATCTATGTGTCCTATTGGAAGGCTAAATCCTATTGCTTCATCAAATGGTTTAAAGGTAACTGTATTTTTCTCTAGAAGTGAAAACAAATGTAGCTCTCCCTAAGCTGAGTTTTCAACTGGTGAAGGCAAAAATAAAGAGTAATTTAAAACAACAAATACTGCTTATACCCTGACGGGATGATCATGTGTTCTCCATTTGCAGTGAGAATCAAACAAGAGGAATTGATAGTAGCTACAGCAAGAGGATTTCAGGAATTTTTTTTAACAGTTAATAAGATATGAAGACATAAACAATGATATAGTAAAGTATGGGTTATAGACAACAGAGACTCAATAAAGGACAGAAAATGAACTTTAGATTGGCCAGAAAAGACTTTACAAAGCAGAACTTAAGAAGACCATGAAAGGATGAGAATCACAGGGGAATGAAGAAGGCATTCCAAGGAGGGGCATTTAACATAGCTGAGTAAATAGTAGGTGTAATTATGTAATAAAACACCATGAAGGTTAGGACAAATAAGTTAGATCTGTTAAGGAGGCAGGAGTTAGGCTGATTTTTAAAAGTGATAAAAGCAACTATACTCCAATAAAAATTAATTTTTTAAAAAACTGACCTGCCAGAGATCAGAAGACATATAAAGATAGTATGTATAAATATATAAATATAAACATACATAAAATAATAGCATTGAACATGCTCTTTTAAAACTTTAAATATGATGACCTATGAATTCTGGAAGTAGCGATTATGTCTGAGAAATAAATGACATGACAGAAGCAATGTTGAAGGGTGATGCGCCTTTCACGGTATAGAGGCTGGATTGAAGTGGAGAAAGATGGAAGGCAAGGAAGGTAAATTATAGTGGCTTTTTAGTACTTTGGTTATGAAACAATGAAGGACAGGACTAAGGTGATGTAACTGAACAGGAAAAGGAAAGAATGGATAGGTGACGAATACCAAATGTAAAATTTGTCTAAAGTGTTACAGAATATCTGTGATAAGAATGTAATGATGGTAGTTTGTTTTCAGATTTTTCTGGATCATTCCACCTACATGTTTTCACTTAAGATTGAAAAGAAAATAATACAGTTGGTATTAAGAGGGATGTGAAAATAAAGTAATAATAATGTTTTTTAGTTTTTTTTAACCAAAAAACACTGTTATATGGAATCATGATTATGTTTTTTTAAATTTATGCTCATGATACCTCAGTGATTTTGGTGTTGTCATTCTGACTTTCAGCTGAGCCTCAAAAATGTTAAATGAGTCTGCAAAATTTTTTTTTTTTTGCCACACCACGTGGCATGTGGGATCCTTAGTTCCCCAACCAGAGATCGAACCTGTGTCCCCTTCAGTGGAAGAGTCTTAATCACTGGACAGCCAGGAAAGTCCCTGAGTCTGCAAATTTTCAAAGTTATATGTGTCATACCAGATAAAGGTATGATGAAAACTTGTTTTTTTTTTTACTACACGAATTTGTTTCTGTGGAGGGAATATTCTTATTCATTCCTCTACTTTCATAACTTTACTCTTTGTCTTCCTAGGCAAATAATTTCTTCTGTATTAAATGTGTTTAATTTATTTTTTAAAAACACTTTATACCACCAAATTTCTTATTACAAAATGGATTAGTAGCCATCCCAGCATGCCTCTAGACACTTCTGTAGGCCTGTTAGCAGCAGAAAAGAAAATAGTCAGAGCTAGAACCTTTTCAACTTTTCCTCTTTTCTAGGTGTACCTGAGACACACAAAGAGACTAAGTATATTCACCGAAAGCTGAATTATTCTATTTTGTTCAATATGTCAAAATCACTCTGATTTCCATAAAAGAATATGACAGAGGCAAACAATATCTATATAATCCTTCACATTTCTCAGCATCCCTTGCAGGTAGGGCAATGAGATATATGCCACTTCCACTGCTGGCCATAAAAGTCATGTGCAAGTCTATTCCTTCTTCCCCGTGGTAGTAACCTTGAAAGGCACATTGGAGATGGAGTCACGAGATGAAAGCCCAATGAACCTCCCTGACAATGACTGGTCAGGAGGTGTTCTGAACAGCTACTGGACTCACAAGCAGTGTTTGTGAAAGGAAAAAATAAACTGTTATATACTTAGCCTCTGAGACGTGGGGGTTTGTTTGTTACTGCAATATAATTTATCTTATCCTGACTAATTTAGGTATTGAAGCCACAGTGGGTAAAGAGGATTTAAAGTACCAAGACTATTGAAGACTATGACAGAAAAATATTTGATTTGGATGAGAGACAGAGAGAGAGAGAGAGGGAAAGAAATAATAATGGCTTAAAAATTATTTTTTCTGGGGAAAAGTATTATATGAAGAAAATTTACCGAGAAGTTGCTGCAGAGTTACAACATTCAGTACTTTAAAAAATGGCTTTTTATCCCAACCCAACGCAGCAAAGCATCACTTTTCTTCTATTATTTTAGCAGATAAATAATTCTCACCCTTACCTCCTGCGTAGATCATAGGTGCTCCTGGATATGGCTGAGGCAGCTGACAAAAATGTGGCTTGTGGATTTTTGAGTTGGTAAAAATATTTAATCCTACAGACTGGAGGAAAAATAATTATTAAAGCATACTGGCAATCCAGTCTGGAGACTAGAATATTTCCTTACGTTTGTATTATACTCTTACTATTATTATACATATAGCTCATAGGATCATCATGAAAATTCCACACAATAGAGAAGAGAGGTATTTTATAAGTATGAAAATGGGGTCAAAGAAAGTCCAGATCATCCAGTTAGTGAATGGGAGTTGGGATTAGGATCCACTTCTGATTCCTATTTCTGAATTTTGTCTCCTGTGTGCTGATGCCTCTTTAATTATCTTTTGCCTCCAAGAAACTTGAGTATTTTAATTTTGGATGTTTTTCTTTCCTTCCTTCCCCCCCAAACCAAACATTAACTTTGTGGCAGAGAGTAACTTTTTGTTTCTTTTCAATTGAACTTGTAGGGCTGCATATTGGAGATTTTTCTCTTTTTTTTCCTAAATAGATTTATTTATTTATTTATTTATTTTTGGCTGCGTTGGGTCTTCGTTGCTGTGCGCAGACTTTCTCTAGTTGCAGAGAGCGGGGGCTACTCTTTGTTGCGGTGCGTGGGCTTCTCATTGCAGTGGCTTCTCTTGTTGTGGAGCACAGGCTCTAGGCATGCAGGCTTCAGTAGTTGTGGCACATGGGCTTAGTTGCTCCGTGGCATGTGGTATCTTCCCCTACCAGGGCTCGAACCCGTGTCTGCTGTGTTGACAGGCTGATTCTTAACCACTGTGCCACCAGGGAAGTCCTGGGGATTTTTCTTCACAGTCAGTACACTTTGTTTTGTTTATGTTTTATTGGAAAATATTCCTTTGCCTGAATATCTATGTTCAACTCATCCCTTTTGTGATTTATCCTTTCCTTTTTTCTTTCTCACTGTCTTTTAAGTATCTTGAATCTCTGCATGCAAAACACAATCGCAGATGTCCACAGTAGCCTGATTCCTAGAGCCCCCCTGTTCCAAGCTTCCTCTTTCTTTGATATTAGTGACAAATACTACTTGCTGTCCTATCTCAGAGTACTTGGGAAACTGTGGGACTCTGAAGCACAGTTGTCAGTGGTGGCAGTGATATGGAATGGGGAGAAAGAAGTCAGAAAGAAATGTTTAAAGATGCTGCAGTTAGCTAATAAACCGAGTCTTGTTTTTCTCCCTCTACCACCGTCTGATTTATGATTCTGGAGGCTCCAGAAGAGGGAGGTTTAAATTGTTCTCAGGTAAGCTGCAGACCTCATCAGCTAAGCTGATGTATGCTTTCCTCAAGGTATAAGGAGAGTTTTCAGTCATTTTTGGTAGAGATAAGATTTAATCTCACAACCTGGATAAGCTTCCTTTTCCTAACTCTGCCTGATTAAAGATACACATTTGAGCTAACGTACCTAAGGCAAGCTAACGTTTCTACTCCAAGTTTTGTAAATCTCTTTTTTATGAACAGCTACTTTCAGTTTTCCTGAAATTTTACTGCACTGAAGGTGTTGGCTGAAGTAATGTACTTTGTGTATTTAGTCATTTACTCAATCATTTATTTTTGTGAAAATGACTATTATAATGGCTGCCAATAGGGTACTCACCTTTCCAAGGGTGTCAGAGGTGCTATGGGAAATATTTTGTTTTTCTCACATATTGGAATCTCTGAGAATCACTGAGAGGGGAATATGACAGTGATAACTAGTTTTGGGATCAACTTGGTTAAAGTTGTGACCCTAGAAGTGTACCCCTTGCTGTTTAAAATGCCAGAGAAATTCATGATTGACTCTCTGTGTGTATACAAAGTTCTCTATGCCTCTGAGATTTCAATATTTTTCTGTTAATCACAGGTTTTCTTTTTGGTGAATGGGAGGAGGATCAGATTTTAGAGCTTAGAAATCTATTTGTTCTCCATCTTAACAAAGACTCAGAAATCAAATTTGGTTATGTTTTTAGGAAGAAGAATTACCTCAAAGATGCTGTAAACATCATCATCACTCAGGACCTGCTTTGGTGTGTAAACGATTCCATTGTGAGTTATATCTTCTGCATTGATGCATTCTTCCCCATCTTCATTCATAGGACTTCCATATCTAACACTAAGGACGCTCTTTACTGGTAGCAAATCATAGACCTGCAAAATAGAGAGAACAAAGGAAAAACTCTTATTTATTTTATTTTATTTTATTTTGAGTGTGATAATGTTCAATCTGGAGTTTAAGAGATCATGGTGCTTATTTAACACTCCCATACCAACATTATAAAAAGTGACACAGAAATCATGGGGAGATAGTAAGGGTTATGGATCCTAATGCTCTTCTTGTACAAAAGAAATTAATACATAAAGATATCAAATTAATTGATCAAAGACTCACAGCGCATTTTGGCTGAGTAAGTATAAAACTCAAGTCTCTTTGTCTCCCAGCCCAAACGCCTACTTTTAAAAGAAAGCAAAAATGTGGACAGTACAGAGAAACATAATGAAAGAATAAAAGTCATTCATACCCATCACCCAGTAACAACCTCTGTAAATACTTAATTCATTCCCTTTTCCCATTTTATATGATTAAGTTCTTACCAAGTTTTTTTTTTTTAAGTCTACTATTTTAAGACCAATTTTAACTTGGAAAAAAACTAGGTACAGGGGTAACCTAGAAATAAATCCATTCCAGTTCAGTTTTTGCCCAGAGCCTAGCATAAGGCTACCTGCTCAGTCATGTAGTGTTCACTAAACACACAGTGACTCCATGCAGACCTGCTGTCATCTCTTATCTAAGCTACTACAATAGCCTCCTAACTGTTTTCATTCTTGCTCCCGTACTCTGAGTGGCAAACAAGATCTTCTTACCAAATAAATCTAAATCACTAAATCACTCTCCTGCCTAAAACTCCTCAGTGATTACCACTACATTTGCTGTCAACTCCTAACTCCACTGCAAGCTCACAGTACTTGTCATGATCTTCTTTACTTTCCGTCCCACCTACCACCTCTACCATCCTCTTCTCTCACCATTACGTATAAGGTCATTACCTTTTCCTCTTTGAACACTGCAGACTTATTCTGACCGCAAGACCTACAGGCACGCTGCTTTCATTCTTTGTAATGCCTGCCCCTACCCCCCATTATCTGACAATCTAAGAAGACACCACTAATCACTATATCAAAGATTGTTCAACTCTTTTCTTTAGCTCAACATCCTGTTTATTCCTTAAATGATACTTATCAAAATTTAGAACTATTATATGTTTTTGTTGCTTGCTTAATAACTCACAAGACTATACGTCTAAAATGGTCAAAGACCACATCTGATTGTTCACCATAAAAACTCCTATTCCTGGAGCAGTATCTATCCCGTAATCCAGACGCAGGGGATATTCGTTAAATAAATAAACGGACAATGAAGATTGTAAACTATTGGGCCCTTTTGGAAGTTCTTCATTATAAGAAACATCTTTAAAAGACAAGTTTGGTTGGAAACTCTCTTTTGTCCATACTTAAAACCAATGAGTAAGTGCCTGTTTTTTTAGAGAAGACTTAAAAACCTGGCATTTCACATACTAGCTTGAATTGTGGTGTGTTAGACATGACATTGAATAAAATTTGGTTCAAATCCCACCTTTCAAATATAGTTTTGGGGCTTCCCTGGTGGCGCAGTGGTTGAGAGTGCACCTGCCGATTCAGGGGACGCGGGTTTGTGCCCCGGTCTGGGAGGATCCCACATGCCGCCGAGCGGCTGGGTCCGTGAGTCATGGCCGCTGAGCCTGCGCGTCCGGAGCCTGTGCTCCGCGGCAGGAGAGGCCACAGCAGT